CTTGATGACTGCTGCAAAGGCCTCGTTAAATTCCCAGATGGCAATGTCATCCTTGGTCAATCCAGCCCTTTCTAGCGCGATAGGTACAGCCTTTGAAGGCGCGATAGGGAAGTCCACTGGATCGATGGCTGCATCGGCTGAACTGACAATTCGCGCGAGGACACGGCTTCCTTTGCCATATTCTCGGGCAATTTCCTTATTGCCCAGTACCAACGCACTCGCACCATCATTGAATGTTGACGAGTTCGCTGCCGTCACTGTTCCCTTCTTAGGATCCTTTACAAATGCCGGTTTCAAAGTGGGAACTTTGTCCTTCTTCAAGTTGTTGTAACCCTCATCTTCGGAGACAATAGTGTCTCCCTTCTTCCCCTTGACCGTGACAGGGACAACTTCGTCTTTGAACTTGCCCTCCGCCCAGGCCTTTTGTGCCCGTTCAAAGCTCTGGATGGCATATTCATCCTGCATTTCCCGAGTGATATTGAACTTTTGGGCCGTATTCTCGGCGCAGTTCCCCATGTGAAACTGGTTGTACACATCCCAGAGCCCATCTTCGATTAGACCGTCCTTCAATTGCATGTTTCCAAACGCCGGGTTTTGCGCTGCTCTCGGCAGATAGTAGGGCACTCGAGACATGCTTTCCATACCGCCTGCAACTTGTGCCTCCGCCAAACCGAGCTGGATGTTCTGCGCCGCAATGACAACTGCTTTCATCCCCGAAGCGCAGACCTTGTTGATGGTTACAGCTTCAACTGTGGATGGTAGGCCGGCGAACATGGAGGCCTGTCTGGCAGGTGCTTGACCCATGCCTGCTGCAAGTACATTGCCCATATATACATCTGTAATCTTGGAAATAGGAACTTTTGACTTTTCAATGGCAGACTTGATGGCTACGGCGCCGAGTTGCGGCGCGGACATGCTCATAAAGCTTCCGTTAAACTTGGCCGTCGGCGTGCGCGAGGCAGAGAGAATGTATGCTTCGCCGATCTCTTTGTTGCGAACCATTGGGGAGGTCGCCTTGGAGCTCATATGGCTGCGCATTTGCGAGAGGCGGGCGCCAGCGCTGGCGGGGGATGCGCGAGAAGCCATGCGGGCAGCGGAGGTGAAGGAGGGCATCACGACGGTGTCGGGGCGCTGAGAATCCAGGTTTGATGTAAGTTCGAACACAGTGACACGAGTAGAAATTTCGCGATCAACTGCACATGTCAAGGCTTGCGCGAGCGGGGATGAGGAGGAGCAACAGGAGCGAGAGAGATGTAGCGTACCGACCAAGTATTTGACAAAATCACTTAAGCCTGAGGTAGAGACACTCTACTAATCAGTTAAGCTCACAGGGGAGTGCGAGGAGCTTCTTTCATAGTCGACTGGCATTGACTGGAAGGCAAACTTGGCCTTCGGTCTTTCCCCCAGCTCGCTGAAGTGCGGAATCCGACCTTTGCGCGGAAGAATATCCTCGGCTTGATGGAGGAATTTCGGAACAATTTGGGAGGTTCCAGGCAGATAGTCACGTGAATGAGATAGAGGGTCTACTCCGGAGTACAGCCACTTGTGCCACTTCCCCCTTTCGCTAGGGTGGAGTGTTCATCGTCCCTTCTGGAAAAGTGAACCAGATGATGGGCAATCCACTGCCTCGTACTCGGGCGCCACTCCGCCTTCGCTGCTCTTCTATCTCTCGACCTCGCGTGCGTTCCTTCTGATCGCCCTGTCCCCTTTACACACCGAGTTGTACACTCATCTACATCGAGGACCAAGTCTCCATCGACCCTCTCTTCGTCTTCCAAACCTCAACATCAAAGAAATCCACCATGTCCACCTCCGCACGACGCCGTTTGATGCGGGACTTCAAGGTACGCTGCCTATGTTGGATTACCAGCTTTGACTTGACGCTGGCTTTACCATGAGTGCTGACCCATGGCCCTCGTAGCGAATGCAAACAGATCCTCCTGCCGGTGTCTCTGCCTCCCCTATCGCCGATAACGTCATGACTTGGTAAATCCTACCCCTCCGTATTCAACCCATCTCAGAACGACTTCTGACCGAAGTTCAGGAATGCCGTGATTATCGGTCCTGCAGACACTCCCTTCGAAGACGGCACGTTCAGACTAGTCATGCAATTCGAAGAAGCCTACCCAAATAAGCCGCCGGGGGTCAAGTTCGTTTCACAGATGTTCCATCCCAATGTGTATGGCACTGGCGAACTGTGCTTGGATATCCTACAGAATCGATGGTCTCCAACATACGACGTGGCCGCAATCCTGACATCAATTCAGAGTCTATTGAACGACCCCAACACAAGCTCCCCCGCCAACGTGGAAGCGAGCAATCTCTATAAAGATAACCGAAAGGAATATACCAAGAGAGTGAGAGAGACGGTAGAAAAGAGCTGGGAGGATTGAGGTCAGTGAAAGCGACTTCAAGAGATTTTCGAACGGCCTTTGTTTTCAGCGACTGCATCTACAAACGGGTGGGCTGGCGTCAAGTCATTAACGAGCATTTTCTTTTTTTCCAAAGGGGATTTTTCTCGGGATAAGCGATTCCTTGGATATGGAACATCACATTGTCACTTCAACATTTGCATGCCTGGAGATTAGCGAAGGAGTTTCTGCGACAGATATCCCCCTCAGGGTCTCAGGCTGAGCAGTCAGGCAAGAGCAGCTCCCCGGCTCTTTGTTCTCGAAGCTTTCGCCGACAGTGGGCCACAGTTTTGTCACAAATCGGTTGACCTTGATCAGATAGCTCCAAAATACCAATCATAATGGTTTCACCTCCTGGTTATCTCAATCGGTTCGGGATTGGCATCAAAAATTCGACCGCACGCATATGTGAACACGCTTCATGATACATTCGTTGATACTCGTGTCTATCATTTGGAAAACGTGCCAACCACGTCTTCCATATACTCCATCAACCCTATTCCTCCTCCTTATCTATAAATTATTCACGCCAACGCTCCCATAGGATCCCACAAGGGCAGCACGGTCGGCTCGGCTTTCAATACGTCGCGAACCTCCTTGGCGACGAATCCCGGATCGACCACGACCTGATACACAAACTCGTCCATCCATTTGTCGGTCATGACAAAGTATCCTTTGTCGCCGGCGCTTTCGCCCCAGGAATTCATGACGCGCCATCTCACGCTCTTCTCGCGGCCCTTGCCGTCGTCTTCCATCTGGACGCCCGTCAAGACCATGGCGTGCGTCATAGCGGACTCGCGGACCTTGAGGCGCTGAGACTTGGACAAGTTGAGCGAGATGTTGAATGCCAGGCCGTAGTCGTACAGTTCCGGATCCATAATGCCGCTCTGAGAATTGGAGAACTTGCCCACGTCGCTGCCAAAGAAGACGGGGATACCGGCTCGGAGCATGGCAACCGCGGCTCTCTTCATCGTGGCCATGTCGACGTTCACGTAGGTGATCGGGCGTCCTCCAACGACGTTGCCCAGGCGGGAAACGGTGAGATGGGACATGTACTTGTTTCGAGGGTCATTGACCAGGCTGAACATGCGAGAGACGTCGGCGCCACCCAAGCTTCGGACCACGCTCGGAGTGGACAGAGATTTGGCCAGTTCGAGCGGCGTCATGGCTAATTTATGGTACTTTTCGTCCTTGTCGTAGAACTCCCAGGTGAATTTCTCATCAGGTTTGGGAGGTGGCCCAAGCATGAGCGTCAGGATGCAATGGATTTCACGCATCATCTTTGCTTTTGCTAGCAGCAACGAGGATGACCGTCGAGTATTGGACGAGACTCCGTTGTGGACAAGAGCACGGAGAGCAAGGCCGTCTTCGCGCAGTTTCGTTGTCAAAATCGACCCCATGGCTGAGGAGTTCATGGCGTTGTAGCTGTCGGGGTACAACTTCTGCGGAACCTGAATGCCACAACAAACGTCAGTAATCGAAGTTCCAGTACGAGCATGGCCGCAGGTATCGCCTTACCAGTCCATACTTCTCCACCAAGTTACTCGCCATATCCCACTGGCCACCATCATTAACAGGCGCCCCCAACAACTCCTGCACCTCTCGATCTCCCAGGTCCTTGTCAGCTGTATCTATCATCTGTTCCAGGAACCAATTGGCCTTCTCCATCTTGTCCCAAAAGAACAAATACGACTGGCTCAATTCAAACTCTTTCAAGTTGTGTTTCTTCATGATAGGTACTCGCAACACGTTTGTCGTGGCGAACAGCCAACATCGTCCCGAGGATCGCTGATTTGTCACGGGCGACCCCTCGAAAGGGATCTTGACATTGAACGTTTGTGTGTCAGAAAGAGTTGCGACTTTGTTGCTGATCACGGAGCGGATGTCGTTGGAGAGCAGGGCGTTCAATGCGAGGCGGTTCTTCGGCGAGGAGAGCAGTTCCCTCTCCCATTCTAACGTGGCTTTGACGTCGAGGGAAGGATCGGTCGTGTACGAGTGCGGGATGCCCTTCTCGGCCGTGATTTGGATATAGTCGTGATCGGCTTCGACCTGAGAGAGCTTATCGCGTGTGCGGAGTGATTGGAGTTGTTGCACGAGGATCTTCTCGACCGCGGGCTCATTGACATTAGACGAGCTCTGGGAGTTGCCCATTTTGACAATGGTAGATATAATGGATGTGATAGGAGAGAGCGCGAGTTTCTGATCTCGTGCCTGAAGAAATGAGGACCTTGAAGGGAGGGAATGAAGGACGGCAGGTCTGGAGGCGGGGGGAGGTTGGATGATCAATAATGGAGCATGACACCTGGGCAGATAAGCGATAACGGAGAGAGACAAGACACGGATTTCACGTGAGAGTGGGGGGCAGCTACGGGGGAAGCCACGAAGCCTGGGCGGAGGCTCCGCGAGGCTGAAGCCGAGCCCAACTTTCTCCGTGCCCAGGCTCTGCTAGTTGGCTAGGCATGCTTAACACAACAATGCTTTATGATACGTGACATTGTTCTCTCTCTAATCATGACAAGATATCAGATACATATACTGCCCGAGATGTTTATTACTGGAAGTCCAACAAGGTACGTGGCTGATATCCCTTTACGCAAACAAATAACCCAAGTATCCTAGGAGACCAACCAGAAGTCCACTAGTCAGCTGCTCACTGCCTTTTTGGTCCAGTCTCGCTGCACGGTTGGAATTGGGACTGGCACTTGGAGTCGCCCCGCCGACAGTGACCACAGAATAAGACACTGAAGGGGCAGGGGTTGTCGAGGGTGTCTCTGTGACAGGAGTTGCAGTCGTGCCAGCCTCGGTGGAGAGCCCAGAATCGGTGAGCTGAAGAGTTGCGACTTGTTAACTGGCTGTGCAAAGAAGAGAGCAGCGGGGTTTACGCGGAAGAACTCACTGGATTTCCTTGAATACTGATCCCTGGCGTTGCCGAAGTCGTCGCTGATGCGGCGGACAATGAAGAAGTGATCTGGGCATCGGCTCCAAACAAGGTGCAGAACCCTTCCAGTGCACTGGCGTCGCTTGCTATTTCAGTGTCGATGGTGGCATACTGCGATGCACATGAGGATGCCAGGCCGTCGAACTCCTCGGGACCCCATGTCAGCGTTGAGAGCTGGGTGGTGCAGAGACAAGAGGCCTGCGAAGTCGCGGGGAGCAGTGAGAAGTTGCTGGTTTCAGCTTCGCACAGTGAGAGCACGTCGACCAGAGCTTGACAATAGTCGACGGATGTGTCTTGAGCAAGTACGGTTGACAAGCCATAGGCAAGGAGGAGGAGGTGCTTGGCCATTGCTCACAACTTGCTGTTGGTTGGGTGTTCCCGGTAAGGCCGCAACGGACAAATTGACTATTTCTCTGCACGTGGGCTCAAAGAAGGTTCGTGTAGGAATGGCCACAAACCAAACGTAGGAGGGACATGCTGCGGGCCTTTTATGTTCATGGTATGGTACAGCGCTGAACGGCAAAAATAGCTGGCGTGCCTCTCAGGTCACACGAGCCCTCAATTTGTGTCGATGGTGGCTGAGATACGAGGCTATTTGTTTCTGGACCTTGCGGGATGTGATGGCCTGGAAGGACCCGAGACGGCGGAGAGTCTGATGGTGTCCTACCTCGTCCCCTGCACAGTCGTTTTCTGCGGCCCTATTTGAGACATTGTGACAGCTTCGGTCACATTATTGGACCTTGAAGGGGAATATGGTTGAGGAATACGAGCGTCGAGCAGGTAGCGTTTGCTCTAGGCACATCGAGACACTTTCAGGGGTAAGGCTGGGCTTGGTCTATAACTGCCACAATTTCAATTTTGGCGAGCTGTGGCGTTTGAGTCTGTCTCTCAGCCTCACGGGGAGATTGCGTCGCTTTTTCGAAAACATCAATGCAAATAAAGCTGAGCTGGCGCATAGCGCTCAGGTAATTGATGGCTAAGAGGTAAGTACAGTGTGAGGACCGAGTACTGATACCCTTTATCCATACAAGTCCAAAGCTGCCAATTGCTGAAACCAATGTCTTCTGATCCCGGCCGCATTTATACTGGATCATGGGTCAACTACTCCAAGGGCCCCATCACTGGAGGGACATTGACTCTGTCTAGCTCACACGGAGCTTTCTTGGTCGCATTCCTCGGTGTGTTCATCACCTTGGTTGGATCGCAATTCTGGGTTCTTGTCAGTTTCACTCTTCACCAGCTGAGTTGCACCAAGACATATGACGGGCTCAAGAAGCAGCACCAGGTGATCCTGCGGAACAGCGGGACACCAGCTGGCGCTGCATACGAATTGCTCCTCCTTCCATTCAATTGGAAACCAAAAAGAGATCAATTGGAAACCCTCGATGGTTCCCGCCTGTGGCCCTTCTTGAAACGCTCCTGGCTTCTGTCCCTCGTCCCCCTCCTCTCGTTCGGGTTGTTCGCTGGCGCTGGAGTGCTCTCATCCCAAGTGACCAAAGCGGCAGGCGACGAGTTGCTGGTCTTGGGCTCTAGCTGCGGACAATGGAACTTCGATGCGCAAGCGCCGATGAGCTCGTATCTGGAGAAGTCCCAGAACGAGAGTCAGATTGCATCCAACTACGCCCGCGAATGCTACGGAGCCTCGATACGGTCAACTACCTGTAATACTTATGTGCATCAACAAATCAAATGGTCCGAGGATCAGAATGCCACTTGTCCATTCAAGGGCGGAATGTGCCTTCCGGGCGACACGGCTGCCTTGAAGCTCGACACGGGCTATATCGACTCCCATTCGATGCTGGGGATCAATAGTCGGGAAAAGGATCGCATCAATTATCGACGAGTCACCACTTGCGCGCCCTTGAATGCTTCCGACAGGATACTTCCAAACAAAATCCCTGGCACAAGTATCATCTATTATAATTACGATTTTGGGCCTCTCAGTAGTGGCAATTACACATGGACATACTATGAAGTTTTCTCTACTCTAGGTGGACTTTTATACTCACTCTTGTAAGCTTACGCAGCTGGATATTGCGCAGCTCGAGGAAAGCTGACTGTATGTAACAAAGACAACAGGTGAACGAGGCCGGAGCACCCAACCAGTCTTGGTTTCCAGATCCTGATCTGGCTCAGACAGACGCAGACATCACTCTCTTCATGTTGTCAGCTAATAATGTCGCATACACCAAGCCTGTAACTGATCCCTTCTTTCAAGCAACGAAGCAAATCAAGGTTGAAACATCATCGGGAACGGAAGTGTACTACAAAGCGAATGGTCAGTGCCTTCTCCCTCCCTTGCTCTACAGCTCATGCCCAAGCGCATCAGCAGCTGATTCTTGTTGCTTCGAGTAGATTACGACGAATTTGTCCACTTTGCGGCATGCGTGGACCAGCATCAGCTTTGCGACCCGAATACTACCCCTCCAAACTGCACGGCTCTTCACGGATGGACGAATCTTCAGGCGGGAGTATTGGATTTATCATGGACTACGTCGCGTCAGTTGGCAACCGCGCTACGTGTCCAGCAAGTGTTGCAATACTCGTCCATGTTCTACACCACTTCTGGACGGGGCGGTCTGGCTCTGCGTGCGTCGGAAAAGGTGTCGGATATCATTAGCGCAGGCCTCCCAAATAATCAGTGGATGCTCGAGATGTCGAATCTATTTGCGATGGCGCTGGCTCGGCTCCAGCACAGCATCGTGGAGTATGCCACGGGGCCTTCCGACGTTACAGATGGGATGATCGTGCAAGGCCCCTCGGACTCGGAAGGTCGAGCTCTCTGCTCTGCACAGATGATACGAAACACGGGATTGTACGCGAACTTCTCGGTGCTCGGCCTAAGTCTTATCCTAGGGTTGGGGATACTCATCATTATTGCCAGCATTGTTCTGGAGGCCGTGGTTGAATTCTTCCGTCGTCGCCGCCAATACAAGTCGGTCAACGATGCTGTGGACAAGAGCTTACAGTGGGTTCTTGACGGCAAATTCCAGCTCATGCGCCTGGCATATGAAGGTATCGGTGTCGGGACGTGGGTTCGGACAGGGCAGCATATTCCAGTGGTCAAGGAAGGGGAACAAAAGATCTTTCGCGCGTTCAAGGAATCCAAGATGGATCGTGGGGAATCCTGACGGAACAGACTCGACTGTTCAGTTGATATCAGTGTATACCTCTGTCTACCTCGAGACAGGCTGGTGGATGACCTCACTCACACATCATTCCACGCGATGGGTAACCCGAGGGACGAAGGAGAGGGTGTCATGTCGTGCTTCTTCCGTCATTCAACCCGCAGATGTCGACCACGAGATCTCCCTTTGCCGTTCAATCACAGCGGAAACCCGTGGCAGCCACTCAGATGGGCGAATACGAGCTCCTCCCCGTCCTTGGCACAGATGATTCCACATTCAACGGCTTCCAATGACGCTCGGGACAGAATGCGGGGTTCCGTATATTATGAAAAGCCAAGATGATCGTCGACAAGTAGCTTTATCAAAACCCCTGCTTGTGTTGCATTTGTACCTCCAAGCCCTTGTTTGCTGCCTCTCACAACTCATGCCGGGCACCTTTAGCAGCTTGGCAATTGTCATTCTACCATGCTTCGATAGGAAGGAGCCACGGGAGCACGATCTGAGGGATGGAGTTGTGTTGCGGTTCTTGCGGAAAAGGTCGACGATGATCCACTGCGCTCGAGTGATAAAGAGCAGGATTCTCCCTGCTCATACAGCAGATATGTATTCACTCGTCAGACCGGAATCTCGACATCCGAAATGCTGCTCAACAGGCTTCTCGCTCTACTTGCTCTTCGTTCGATCGCCGTGCTTGCTTGCGGGCGAGAACACCTCCGTTCTCAGGTGTTTGACCCGCATGTTGCTCTTTCAAAGAGGCAGGAGACGGTGTTTCCTCCCGTCCTAGACCAGAATGAAGCCATCTTGCTCAATTCATTTGACAACACCACCATTGAGAGCTGGAGCTACTATTATACTCATGGTCTCCATGTGGCAGGTACCAATCAATCAATGGCCCAATGGACGGCCGATCGCTGGAATGAGTACGGCTTCACGGCGGGCTTGGTATCATACTGTACGTCCTCGGGCTCTTTTGCGAGAAAGCAAGACTGAGTGAAAGTAGACGTCTACCTGAACTACCCGGTGTCACATTCATTGACCGTATCCTTCGCCAACGGTTCGACTTTCTCACCATTACTCGAGGAGGAGGTATTGGCAGAGGACGAGACGACGTCTTATCCCAACAGAGTGCCTACTTTCCATGGCTACTCCTTCACTGGCGACGCTGAGGCCGAGTACGTCTACGTCGGACGCGGCCAAAAAGTTGACTTTGAACGCCTAAAGGCATTGGGCGTGCAGCTCGAAGGTAAAATTGCACTCGCGCGCTATGGCGGTCCATTCCGCGGGCTCAAGGTGAAGAACGCGCAGGATAATGGCATGATCGGGTGCATTATCGTAAGTTACATGTCCCCTTGACCCTTTGCAGCGAATGGAAAACTACCCCTCGGCTGGATTATTGCAATGCCATTCGACATGACAAAGCGAGGAATTGACACGTTTACAGTTCACAGACACCGCAGATGATGGGAACATTACGGAGGCGAATGGCTATGCAGCATATCCAGATGGACCGGCGAGAAACCCTACCTCAGTACAACGTGGCAGTGTCGAATTTCTCTCCACGTACCCTGGTGATCCCGAAACACCAGGCTACCCGTCGAAATTTGACTCGCCAAGGTCGGACAGGTCTGTAGTGACACCTCAGATACCGTCTCTGCCGATCTCGTGGAAAGATGCACAGCCTCTCATCCAAGCTCTCGACGGACACGGTCCAGACGGCCAGACAATCAACCGCACCAACTGGATCGGCAAGCTCAATGCGACCTATTCGAGCGGACCGGCTCCAGGGACCACTATTTCCATGTCCAACGTCATGCGCGACGAGATCACCTGGATCTGGGACAGTATCGGAATTATCAACGGCACTAATGAGGACGAGGTCATCATCCTCGGAAACCACCGTGATGCCTGGATCGTGGGCGGTGCGTCCGACCCCAACTCCGGCTCTGCCGTCTTGATAGAGATGGCCAAAGCGTTCGGGGCGCTCTTGAAGACCGGCTGGAAACCCAAGCGCACGATCGTCTTTGCCTCCTGGGACGCAGAGGAGTACGGCCTGCTCGGGTCGACCGAATGGGTCGAGGAGTACATCCCCTGGCTCAAGGACTCGGCGGTGGCGTATCTCAACCTCGACGGCGCCACTTCTGGTCCCAACCCAGACTTGTCCGCCACTCCCGAACTACACAAGATCGCGACCGAGACCATGAAGAAGGTCGTCTACCCCTA